AACCCTAAGCCCTAAACCCCATATCCCCCCAGTGTTGGAGCCATGGCTCAGATCTGCCCCCACAAAAATCCGGGCTCGCCCCGAAGCTTCCGTCTCTGGTAGAGGTAAAGGCAGAAGAAGACAAGCGGAAATGGCGCAGGACCTCCATACAAGTAGTCCCTTTCGTAAGCTTGTTTGTGCAGAACAGTAACATAGAGTATATTTCATAACTTCCTTCTTGTTCTTATTACCTGAAACCCTAAACCCTAAACCCTAAACCCTAAACCCTAAACCCTAAAACCCTAAACCCAAAACCCTAAACCCTAAACCCTAAACCTGTTCATGTTTGGAAACAACTGCGTTCACGAGCCTTTTCCACCAGAGTCTGCAGCCTGCAATCTCCAAGAACAACCCACCTGCTCTGCACGCAACGGTATAACCTAAACTCAAAACCCTAAACCCTAAACACCCTAAACCCTAAAGCCCTAAACCCTAAACCCCGAAACCCTAAAGCCCTAAGCCCTAGACCCTAAACCCCTCAACCCCTCAACCTTACAAGGGTTCGGAATCTGGTGTTTGGGGTTTGCAGTGTTGGAGAGGCGATGGGCCCTGACAGAAGTGGCGATACTGCCAGGTGCCTTCCTGGACCTATCAGCGACTGCCGCCGGCATGTCTGGGAGGTGACAAAACAGAGGCGTTCTTGTGGTGCGCTCTTAGGACTTTTAACTTTTTTGGGTTTCTATATGAACTATAATGCGTATGCTAAGAGTTTAGTTTTTAGCAGGGGAAAACAGGGACGTGTTACTGCACATCTGAGCCCCAGTCAATAAAATGAGAGCTGGGTTGAAGGATCCCATGGCTGCTTTAGCCTTTCGAAGTACCGTCGAAGCGTCGGATTTGAAATCAAAGCACGTGCATCACGAGGTTGGAGACGACGCCTAACTCTAAGTCGGCGGTTGTCCAAATCAGAATGCCAGACGGTCGTAATCAACTTGTGTTTCCGGGTCCTGATGTTGTGTAGATCTGTGTTTACCTATAGGCCCCATAGTAGTTCCTCTTTGGGATTCCCTAGTAGGATCCTAAATAAAAGCCACAAAAAAGGAACTACTATGGGGCCTATGGGTATGTCGAGACCGGCTTGGTGGAAGTGGGTAGCAGCTGACATTGGAAGCTGGCAAGGCTCCTTGCACCGAGTTTGCAGATTCCGCTAGCTGTCGCCTGTCCACTGCAGCCGTCGCGGCTTTTTTCAGAGGTGCCACGCGGGTCTTTCTGCAACCAGCGGGGCAATACCCTGCACTGACCACCCCACACACTTGATTAAGCTATAAGGCCTCAACCCTAATCCCTAAACATGACTCAAAATCTCTAAATTTGAGCTGTGCTGGATGAGGGAGCCCAGCCCCGCAGGCCTGCCTGCTTAGCCGAGTCCAGCAATCCGGAGCAGGATGTTTCGCATGCTTGCTTGAATGCAAGTCTTGATGAAGTGAGAGCCGATGCGATGCGTCTAAGTTCCAAACCTCCTCGCATGTTGTTTGTATCGTCTGCTGCGCCATCATCAAGCTCCCAGCTAGCCTGGCACCGGGCCTAACCATGACTAGAAATATTTATAGAAACTCCTGCTCCTAAGCGTCTTTAGCACTGCCACTGTGCTCTTGAAGAGGCGAGTCTGCCAAGCGCAAGTTGGAGGATGTACAGGCCCGGAGACAAGGTTTGGACAGTTCTCGCTTGTTGGTGACGTCAAACCAGGGTTAACAGGGTGTTTCAGACAGCGCTTGTAGTTCCATGAGACAGGATGTCGGATCGTTGCAGCTTGGTAGCTAGGAGCTATTTAGGGCTGTTGACAACTTGCTTGGCCCAACTTCTGCAGCCTTTGCACTGTGGGAAGATAGGCAGTGAGTTTCTCTGTTCAAAACCATGGCGGCTGTGGCGGGCCATGAATTGCTGCAATTGCTCGGGCTTGAGCAATGTGGTGATTCCATGGTTGCAGACGGCATTACCACCCTGAAGGCGGGAATGTGGATTGTTTCGGCTGTTTCGGTGATCATTAGTGCATAGGGTTTTAGATTCAGGGTTTGTCGTTCATTCAGTTCCCATCTGCAGTTAGACTCTGCCGTGAGACCGTGCCGATGTCCGTGGGGTGTCTCGGTTCAGGCCGTTATGGAGATGACGGAGGATGACATGTCTCGCTTTGAGATCGAGCCACTTACGGCAGAGCTTCTCAAAGAGCGGCAAAAGTTGTGGAAGTTTCTGGTTCAGCACCAGCTATGGATCTGTGCCGAGAAGCTCTTCGTGAACGGCTTTGACAGCATGGCAGACGTCAGAGCCATGGGACAAGAAGACATGAAGGCCGTTGGGCTCTTGCCGGGCCATCAGAGCAAACTGCTGCGCATCTTGGAGAAGGAGCCCGAGAAGGTGCTGGGCCAAGACTTCCATCATTTGGGTCATGAAAATTCGATGCTCTCCTGGTCGATGTTTCTTATTGGAGAGGTAGTTGCATGGCAGTGCATCTGGCTTGCATAAGCCAGCTTGGGACATATTATGTCTTCAAGCCTAGGCCTCAGAAGTTTCAGTTCTGAACCCTGCGTTCAGGTGCCCGACATGGCAGAGCCGGGAGCTACCAGCAGCGAGCAGAGTGACGAAACATCAGCGGCCCCTGGACTGCACATCAGCGGCCCCTTGCGCCTTCGTTCCCCAAAAATTAGGAGCCGAAATGCGAGACCATCAGACGGTTTCGAGATACATAACGGAGCTCGTGCATGTGCAACTTCCCAACTCTTAGAGGGAGGGGGCCTGACCTGTTCCAGAGTTGGAGTGATCCCGAGGCAGAAGGGGAGGCCACGGAGGATGACAGCAGTATTACGCAAGCGGCTTGGCGTCGGAGATAGTTGGGTTGCGGGGCAAGTCTCACAAAAAGGAGTGCTTGTGGTGGAACGTGGTGGAATCTCGCGGCTCCGGAACTCCAGAGTTTTGATTCTCTGGGTGCCTTCTGTTTTCGGTACCCTTGAACCCCATCTCCATCTTGCTTGTGCGTTTCCACAGCAAACGAGGCCAACTTGGAGGCGAGGGATGATGCATCCGGGGACGACAATGTCCTTCCGTGCGTGCCCTGGCAGACGCTTCAGACTGGGGTGGTGACTTGCAAGGCACAGGCGAACCTGATCGATAGTTGAGCGATAGTGCAACAGTCCCAGGATCGTTTCGCTTCCTGCTACCACCGTTTCGAACATGCTTCACTGACTGTCCTGCGATCTTGTCTAGCCTACCAGCTTGTCAATTCCAGTGGATAAGATCTTGTGGCTTAGGCAATCGTCGAGGCCACAAACTCTGTCTCTATGGACAACAGCAGCACTGTGCAGTGCGCAGATGAGGTGGTTTCTTGATCGAATCTAGTCCTTGGCTCATTTTGACAAGTATGCCCGTCCTACAGCTTCTGCTGATTCAGTTCATGCGCTGGAATCATTCCTGTTTCGCTATGCAGTGCGGATGTGCCTTTCAAGCAGCCGCGCCCGCCCGTTGTGATTTTTGCAGGTTTGGGGCGTTGCTGAGTGTTTCGGCGGTTTATTGCAGGTCCAGGAGACGCACCAGGAGGAAGTGGCGCAGCGCGATGGTGAAGTGCAGATCGAGGAGACGCACCAAGAGGAAGTGGAACAGATCGATGGCGAATACGTTGTTCCCGAACCAGCGACGGTCTTTCATCCACCAGATCGTCATAGCGAGGAGTTGTCATGCAGGGCACCACCGGAACCTTGGTACGTATTCTCTCAACGTTGTGGCTGGGAATGCTGTCGCTTCGACCGTCCAACTTCATGCCTGTAGCTGTCATTGCGGAAGCGTCGGATTGCAAAGTGCTCAATATTGATTGGCTGAAATATGCAGCAAAGGTACACTACATGCTCCCACTGCCAAGACGAGAGCAATCGAAAACCCGCCTTTCCAACACAGCGGTATGTTCATCCCGCATCAAGCCACGAAGCTCATTCCTCTTCACCTCCACAGTCGGTGCATCCTGACTCTGCATCCTGAGATGATCCCGACAGGAAGTCTATGTTCGGGTATGCTTCTCTAGACACTTTAACCAAAACCCCATAACCAAAACCGCATATGCGGCGACGTCCGGTGTGGGTCGCTGCACCTTGAGTTTGCTTGTCAAACTGAGCAAGCTCCAAGCTTTTGCGGCCCAGGAGCTGGCGAGAGACTCCTCTGGCAACTCGAACTGCGGGTGGCCCGTCGCGTATGCTTCAAGGGTTGCGGCTGTGGAGTTGCAGGAGCTTAAAATATAGTCTATGCCGGGTGTCCAAATTCTGATCCGGTTTAGGTTGAGGGCGCTTGCTGTGGATGCTATCTATCATAGCAGGATGTTGTATTGTAGAACTGCCGCCCCTTCACTCTTAGCATAAGGATCCTGCTTGCGAACATGACCAGGGTCTTCATCAAGGGGAGTGTTTAGTGGATCTGTTCAGGCTTCAGGCTTAGGTATGGTGCTTGAGCCAGAATATGGAGGTTTCGGTAACTTACGGAAACTAGTAGGTTTGTCAGGATGTTAAACGGGTTGCATTTTGCTGTAGCTGGTACGTTTTGCCGTCTTGCGTGTGGCGTTCGGCTTACACTTACACCACCGGCAGGCATACGGTTCCCGAATCCGAACGCGTAAGTAGTCTTCTCGATCGCATTGGGTCGTAGAGCCTCAAGCCCAATGCTATAGGCAGATACAGTGTATAACCCTGTAACCTGCTTCGGGAAGCTTTGAACCTTGAGCCCAAGACCCTAAAGACCCTGAAGCTTGAAGCCCAAACCCAAATGCCTAGTCACCTCTAAATTCTTAAAGCCCTAAACCCTAAACCCTAAACCCCGAAACCCCTAAACCCCTAAACCCCTAAACCCTAAACCCTAAATCCTCAAAGCCCTAAGCCCCTTCAGCAGCCCCGAGGTCGGAGGATTGGCTGCTTGCGAACGAAGATCCTGACTTCACCTCGCCCGGAGCAAGCGACACCCCCAAGAAGACCGGCTTGGCGGCTCGCCTTATGTTGAGTATTTCAGCATCCCAGATGTGTTTGATGAACCCAACACCCTGAATGCTAGACACTGAAAGCCCGAAGCCTTTCATGCATGAATCAGGACCTCGACCGCCTGGCAAAGGTAATTGAGGAGTCCGACCACGCTGTGACCCTTGGACAGATTTTCGAAGTCAATTCCCCCATCGTTTCTCGAACTTTGCCGTAAAGTTGTAAAGGATTGCTTGCAAGGAGGTGTCGACTGTTGGGGGATGTTAGGGGTCTATTATTATTATTGCCTATAATCAGAAATCCTCATTCGAGAACTTTCCTCTTCCGAAGATGCTGTTTCAGTCTATTGGCTTTTGTACTTCTGCCTGGACCATGTTGGAGTGTTAGTTGACCTGGTTGCCATGCTTCTGCTGAGGACCGCTGCCAAGGATGAGAACGTGATTATGCTCTTGGGCAGTACAGGATCCGGCAAGACTTGCTTTGTCCACACGCTAGCAGGCCGGAGCCAGCTGACACGATGCTAGGTGACTTCGTTGTCAGGCATAGTTGTGGACCTGTGGAGATTGCTACTGCCTGGCATCCAGGGCAGCGGCTTCTTCCCAAGACTCTCACCGTTGATGGACGGCAAAAGGATGTGTATGCCCCTGGGATCTGTCTTGGCGGGCTTTCTTACCCTAAACCCCTAAACGCCTAAACCCCTCAACCCTAAACCCCTAAAGCCCCTAAACCCCTAAAACCCCCAAACCCCCAAACCCCTAAACCCC